GTTCATTAAGCCAACTGCACCGGCAATCGTTGAAATAAGAAGGCAAAGATTTCGTTGACTCAATCCTTTTGCGCCGAATTCTTCTTTAATAAGCTACATTTCGCGAATTTACACTATATAATATGTTCGCTATTTTATTTTTTTATGAAACTTATATACAGAGCGTAAAAAAACTCGGTCATATATTTCAAGATTTTATCTTTAAATTTATTTGAATATTTCTTTCAATCTCATCAATAGTGACATTTCGATCTCGTTGGATCAAAGAGGCTCAAAATATAAAAATAATTTAATATTAACAATTGCTATAGTCATGCCAGTTTGTCTTGTCTAGTTAGGGTTATTGTGCTGCTAACGGCATATACCTACTAAATGAGAACCTTCGTCTTTGTTCCGGATAAACTTCGAATTTTGTTCATTTCTAACATGGCACAGCTCGAAATTCACGCCGTAAAATACTCTCGATTAAAAAGATACCATCATGTGTTATCATGTTATATGTGCATATATGCATTTGGATACTCAACAAATTGCAACAATTGTAACGTATTGTAAAAGAAAACATGAACTGCGGGATGTTGCGTCGATACTTCTGTATATTTAAAGATTCTATATATAAAAGTTCTAAATATATAAAATTCTTGCCGTTTAAAATTATTTGTGACGTAAGACGAACGTAAAGAATGTATATTTTATCGAGATTATAAGTAAATATTTAAATACTGTTAACGAGAGTTTCTTGCGTACCTTATCCCTTTACCTAACTAAATCCCGCGTACTTACCCTCGTCCACATCGCTATTATTTCCCAACACCGGAAGAATTGATTCACACCCGGCGCTCGCGCATCGCCTTCGCAAATGGTCCTCCCTTCGAACGGAAAATCCCGTAGCTCGGTATAGCCCGGCGTTGCACGCAAGTTTCAGTGCTTACGAGCAGTTATGGAGGGCGCATGCCTGCATATTTCATGAGCAAACAGACTTCAGTCCCCGTGGCATGCGCTGCAACCAACCCCGGCTCGGCGTGACTAGCCAAGCTTGCGCGAGTATCGGGGCCGGCTGTACGAAAAAGATTTTTGCCGTCACGCGGATTTCCGATCCGACGTAACGATTTACTTCCGAAGCAATGAACTGTGCGAAAATGTCTGCCTGCCTGAGGAAACGATTGCATTTTAACGTAGCTTATTTTTGCGATACGTTTTGCGTACACGACTGATTTCTATATATTAAAAGCTTAATATAGGCTCAAGATAAAGATTAAGATAAGAAAATATAAAACATTTTCGATTTTTGTATGTAATTTTTGTAGGCCACAGAATGACCGATAACATTACGATTTAAAGGCATATGGATTTACTCTTCCTGCGAATTTTCTCTTTCCATGAATTTTATTTTTAATTTGATAAAGAGATGATAAGAGAGAAGGAAACTTTCCATCATGCAGAGGAATTTAATCCCAGTCAGCAGTAAGGAGCATGAACAATTATTTGCTTTATAATGTTAGTCCATTATCATCGAGATCGCATACGCAGGAATGACCGATAACATTACGATTTACCGATTAAACATTACGATATTTAGGTTATATATGCAGACATTTTATTTCTATATTTTTTAAATAAATTTTTTCAGCACTTTTCCATTCCCGATGCTTTTCATTAAAAAATCACTATTGAAAAATTAGTATTATAAACTTGAGTTAATTAATTATTTGTAGCAATGGCAAAATAATGCTCAATGCAAAATAGAAAGCGATTGACTTTTCTTAACAAGTAATTTTTCCAAATTTTTGATTTGCGTTCTCATCCGGAAATCGGTAGCCATAATATTTTGAATGCAATCACAAGGAAGTACATACATTGGTAAAAAATCTACACGAATAATTTTTCAATAACGGAGTTATGTACATACGACGAACGTATTTTTTACAGTAGATGATTTATTAACTGTTAATTGAATATTACGTCAATATGCCTAGTGTATATTTTATGGACGATAAATTTGCGCGCGACTTCGGTGGATTTTGCGTAGATCCGGCAGTGAATATTTCGTAGATTGGAAATAAAATAAAATTTGATTCACATTTGTGAATATTCCCTTACGGAAAAAAAGTTATTGGCAAACATTAACGAATAAATGCCGCTAATATTCCTCAAATGTTCCTCTAAAGCTGTCGATAAAGCCCATCAGCGTTTATGATCGATGGTAAACTAACGACATATGTAACAATGTCTCTCTCTCTCTCTCTCTATTTTCTCTTCTAACAATAATGATTTATTATGTTTATTTATAAATATTATTTTTCATTTTCTGTTACAAATAAATAACGATATATATAAAATAAGTGATCTTCGCAATACTCTCCTATAGTATGTGTAATTATCTGATTATTTTTAGTTTAGACATTAGTTTTAGTTTTTTCTTTATTTTTATCTTTTTATCTTTATTATAATAATACTTTACGGTAAAATTAACAAAACGACTTCTACAAATAATAAATAATGCGATAACGTGGTGATGTAATCAAATGTATACGACACAATAAAACATCACCTTAACTTATTATTTTTTCTCGTGGCTAAAGTTAAAACGCGTATCTCTATTATGCGTTTGTACATACACAACGTAAATGTACCAAATATTAAACCAAGAAACGATCAAGAAAGATACGTTGTTAATCATTAACAATAAAAATTACTGTAATATCTGTACATACTCAAAAATTTTGATTAGAGCGGTTGTTTCTGCTTCTAGTTTATATGCCACAATGATTGGGATGAAAGGAGCCGATGAATGATGAACGTAGCCGATTTATGATTCCCGCTCTCGTTTCTTATATTGAAATTATATTGGCTAATTGTCGTCGCAAGACTCTTGCACGGTGCTCGCGGTGAGCCGCGCGGCAATTCCTTGTTTGCCTATTTGTCCCGTGTAAATAAGCGCTCCGCGGGTCCCTACTTTCGTCGCGCAAACAATACGGACGCGTCGTAGCCGTCACGTTTTCGCGTTTTCACCCCGGTCGAGAATATCACCTACCCCTCTCGCGTAACGATTCGCGAGCGACGTACGCCGTGGACCGTGAAAATTATCGCTTCGGCTCGCGCGAATAATAAATCGCGCGCTGATTACGCGCCCGGCGACGCGTTATCATCCTGTTCACAGGATCCTGAAATTTCGCGACGTCCTGCTTGCACGAGTAATACATTTCACATCTCCCCCCTTTTTTTTGTAGAAGATGAAAACCCGAGATAATGTAAAAACGTCATTTATTTTATCGACGTTTCCGCACCAGTTTTCAACAATCTTAATTACAAAGCCGTTAATTTTGAAACGGACTGTTTGGAAACTAGAAGTTTAATATGTGAATAAGAAGTTTAATTATTATATAAAAAAGAAAAATAAAATGAAATGTCTGTATTTTAAAGACTTATTATTTCTTAATTTAATTCGAGAAATTGATTTAATTTAAATCAAGGGGTCAACCATGAGAATCAGTGTACATTTTTTTAGGAATAGATTGCGGCAATACAATACTAGCAATAAAGTGTGCTGTATTGCCATAATTATCAATCATTGTACATTTTTTAGTAGTGGTTAACCCCTCGATTTTTAAATGCAATACATTTAAGAATTAACAAAAAATATAGACTTTCATCTATACTTTGGAAAAATAAAATTGATTTCATAGATACTTTGAAAAAAACCTATCGGATTTACAATCATAAAATTTACCGGACCTCGTTTTGTGAGATTTAAGACTTAATTGTATATTACCTTAAATTAATTGCGTGCATAATGAAGATCTCACTAATTTTATTTTTGCAATCACGCCAGTTGCATACCGATCTGAACCGAAGAATGCTGTCTCTGACCCTCGTAATGGCAGAGGGGGAGGGGTTATCGTTGCCCGTCTCGGTTACTGAGGGATTTATTTTCAATTAGATTATCGCGGACGTGCGGGATACAGGCAAATCACGACGGTGCCTCGCCACGTCGACAATGCCCACACCCCTTTGCCCCCTCGTACAACATCGCTGCCCTTTCTCCTCGGCAATCGAGCCGCGACAATGCGAACAATGGCCGAGGCGGTCCGGCGTGACCCACGCGCCGCTTAATATCGTCGCCGATAAAGGAGCCGGCGATGTTTTACAAACAGCTATGCGCCACGCGCCGCATCCACCCCCCTGTCAAAACATTCCGAACGGCCGTCGCGCCGCGCCGGTGCGCCAGGATGATGGGGTAAGTCACGTGCCGCCCTTGCGTCTTTCCCGAGATGGCACTGGGAAATTACGGAGTGCAGCCGGATGCAGTTTTTGGGAACGGAGAAGCGCGAAGGATCGATCGTAGGGCTGCGTTCGAGAAATGCAGCTTCGCCCAGGGAGTCGATTGTGTATCTCAAAACGAGATGAAAAATGAAAAAGTGAGCAAATTCACTACAATAGTTGCAATTTTATTGGCCAATACCTAGTGAATTTGCTCGCTTTTATAATTTGCAAGATACACACTTATTTTAAGATACACAATCGACCCTCCCCCCCCTCCCACCGATGCAGTCAGATATCATTTTATCCTTGTTTACCATTCGATGAATAACAAAGGATAAAATGATACATCGTGAATTCCTGAACGTATCTCACAATCAGAACTACTCTGCTTCGCGGGATATTACGGAAATTAGCGCAATTTATTGGATATCGCGTAATTATTATTTGCATTTGTTAGAATTACTACTTGGCTATTTTTTGTTATTCTGATAAGCACACGGCGATTTAATTTGTGGATAAATTAAAACAGCTAAATCTTATAATTACATGTAAAAGATGGAAGCTGAATCTGTGAAATGTTACATTATTCTTATATACGTAAAATTGGAATACAACTCAAAGTTATTATTATGCATATGCACATTCATATATGCCTCTTACATATATTTTTTCCGTTTATTTTAAATATAAATTTTTCACAGATTCATCAATTAAAAGCAACTATAATTTGCACTCACAGGTACGATGCACAGCGGCGGAGTTGCGTTTATACGTTGAAATTATGTTCATCTGTGAAATAAAAATAGATTCACAAATATAACAATGCTCAAAATAATAAGCATTTCAGAAAATAATTACAGATTAATTCGAAAGTACAAATTACAGATTAATAAGTATAATTACACATTAATTCGGAAGTAACAAATAAGTAGGTAATGCTCACGTTATGGTTGCTCCGCCGTCGCCCGATCAAGCCTCCCAGGCCCTCCTCCTCCTCTCAGATTCCGTCCTTGCACACACATGTACCTATACAATACAATCGTACGACACTTTATGTTAATTAAATTCTTCATCATACTTTATTAGATCGTGACGGAAGAACAACGCGAAAGATTTGGCGTCGAGATTGGCTATATATCGCGGCATTGCAATATAGTGTCATATCTTGAAAAATGACAACAATTTTGAGTTATTCATTGAAGGAGATGGATTTTGGCGTGTACTTTTATCTGGTGATGAATAACTCAAAATTGTCAATTTTCGAGATATGACACTATTGCAGCAATGCCGCGATACGTACTTCGATATCACTCGCGACGAAATCCAAGCAAAGAGCGAATTTCGAACGACCTAGGTTGTACACGAATTCACGCAGGTATAACGTACGGAAACGCGGGATTGATTGCGATCAGTGTTGCTCGTCAATTAGATGCGCTCCTAATTATCCGCGACGAAATATATAATCACCGGCCATGTAAATAAACAGCATGCCATGAATGAATAACGCGATTTTCCCTCCACTTCGTTTCCCTCCTTCGGATTAATAAATCATGCAAGATACCTATATAGGTTGTCGTCTCGATACTCACGAATCGCGGGAGTTGTATAATCGCTAAATAATCGTCGGGGAAAAATGAAATACGCGTCCTTTCGCGTATTTGTCGCGAAAATCTAGGTTAGGACGACATCCGTCGCGACCGTCCAACCAAGGCTCGTCGCGACGCTCGTCGCGCGAATGACAATAAGGCGCACTAAACAGCGCGGCCCCGCGCGCCCCTGTAGGTATGTCGCGAAAAAGAAATTACCACCGCGTGCGTCTCTTTCGTGTCAGCCAGCTAAACGAAATATTTTCTCACGGTAAAATATTCAGCTCGGAATGGAATTAAGACGCGCCGAATATTCCGCTCTTGCTTCGCCGCCGCAATTTATCGACGAACGTTCGATATGCTTGCTAGCTGGGTTACCTCGAATTATTCAAGCGTGGCGATTGACGCGGCTAACTTCACGCTCTTCCGAATTCGGAACTCGGAAGTGACGAGGCGAATCAGCTCTCCCGAGTACGCAAAACGTCGGGAGCATGTCGCTGCAGTCGCTACGTACGTTCGCGTCCAAGCGTCCGCGAGGAACGATTTCCTTTCGAAGTGTCACGAAATATGTACAGATATGTATGAAATAATTGAATCTGTGTACAAGAACTTACAATTTCGATCGCCTCTTATCGTTTCGATTTCTCCTTCGAACGAATCGACCGAGCGGAGCAAGGATCACACCAGCTGTCGTGATAAATATATTCGCCGAGTCTTGTACGGATCAGTGATCGTGAAAGTCCGGAAATCGCGCGCTGGCTGACAATAGATAATTGCTCGTGGAAAACCGCCGCGTTCGCTCTTCCCTATAATACCCGCCGCGATCGCATCGTGAAAAGTAACGCGACGACACTCGATCGGAACGGCGCGCGTCTTCACCCACCCCCGCGGCGCCGGCCCCTCCTACCGCTCGAGTCACGATCGCGCGACGCGCGGTCACAACAAGGTTACGTACGCATAACATATACGTAAAGCCGACGCCAAGAGGTACCATATGTATTACCATATAAGTTATATCGTGTGCCAGCGAAATGTGTAACGCGCTACAAAGTGGATGCTCGCCGAATATTCTGATGCCCTTTGATTAATTCCGGTAAGTGGACTATTGTCGTATATTAAGTATAGTATTTCTCTAAAAGAATAAGATTTCCATTTTTATCTTGGAAATAATCGTCAATATTTTGCCCTTTGATTAATTCCGATGAGTGGACTATTGTCGTGTATTAAGTATAGTACTTCTCTAAAGAATAAGATTTTTATTTTTATCTTGGAAATAATCGTCTCTCTAAAAGAATAAGATTTTTATTTTTATTTTGGAATTAATCGTCTCTCTAAAAGAATAAGACTTTTATTTTTATTTTGGAATTAATCGTCTCTCTAAAAAAATAAGATTTTTATTTTTATCTTGGAAATAATCGTCAATATTTTGCCCTTTGATGAATTCCGATAAGTGGACTATTGTCGTATATTAAGTATAGAACTTCTCTAAAAAAATAAGATTTTTATTTTTATCTTGGAAATAATCGTCGACATGGGCGTATCCAAGGGAAGGGTTTAGGGGATTCCTTCCCCCTCGAAATTTTTATTTCATTAATGCAAAAAATTTATGCGTTAACAGAATTGATAAACTCCCCATGCCTCCCCTTTTTCCGAAAAAAAATCTTGAATATGCCCATGATCGTCGAGGAATAATTGTCATCTGTATAATACATGAAGCGTAATTATAATTGCGATTCCTTTAACGATTAGAACATACTCGATGTCGACTATGGATTGTTCTTTGTGTAACGCGTTTAATTCGTGTTACGAGTTTATTTCAATTTACGAAATTGAATTTCGATTTGTAACTAATAACTTTCTTCAGGCAAATAAATTCGTTAGGATCTAGTTAAACAATTGCGTTCACGGTCAAGCAAAATGTTAGCGGTATGCTAGAGCTGCAGTTGGCGCCGACAAATTCAAACAGAATACCGCGGCAGATTGACATCAATTGTGTCCGTATTAACCCTTTCATTGTCCGTGTATCATATATAATACACTGATGTAACATGTCAGACGCCTGTGTATCATATGTGATACACGAGTTCTATTTCTGGGACGCACGTGCATCAGGTGTGACGCGTTGACCGTGTGTGCTTCATATATTTCTTTTAGAAGCTTACAGCATTTAAGTTTTGCTCTGTTTGTAATTGCCATTTGATTTTTCATAAAAGATTAACTTTACAAAACTAACACTTGTTTTGGCATAAAATCTTAAAGTCTTTTTTTTTTTAGGATAATTTTGATACATAAAAAACAGCTGGACAGCAAATGGGTCAAGTTTCTACCAACACAAACATGACGATATAATTTGACATATTACCAGGAAAAATTGAGTAGAATGACAGTGTCAATTTGTGACATTCTGTTAGCAGATCCTGTTATATTTCTATAATACAGGCATTTCCGCTGACAAAATTTGTTGTTGATAGATTTGACTATTTGGATTTATTTTCAACATTTTATACGGTCGTTTTTGTTATTTAGTAGTTCTTAAAAATCACAATATTTGTTTCTTTTTCTCTTTTGAAGCATAAATAAAAAATCATATTAAATTTGATAAATCTGTAGATATCGATTGTTTAAAATAACGTACACGTAATGTTGGTAGTTTTCTAAAGAGACGAAAAATAGTTTATTTTTAATTTAAATCAGAGTTAACCTGATTTTTTCTGATCTGCGATAAAAAAAAGAGATGCGCCGCATGATTAAATGCTTAATTGATTTGCGGGCAAGAACCGCAAGCCCGAGATACAATTATTTATCGATCATGATGAAAGCGTTTCGACCCCAGCGAGGACCCCATGAAGGACGGTGCCGGCATAAAGCGTATGGGAAATTGTGGGAATGATGGGGGACAGGTCGGTCGCCTCGGGGAATTGGTTCGCAATATCGCAGGACTTAGAGAAGTATCATCGAAGGATAGTTTACATCGGTTAGTGCCGTGTCGCGATTAACTTCTCTCTACTCGACGGCGATTGCTTTTTCGGGCCGGACGAAACGTGAGAGTGACTTGTTGAGCGCACGGATCGCGCGTGGGAACATTTCAAACTCCAAAACTGCATCGCGCGCGATCTTAAAGCGATATTACTCATACTTAAAATTGCATACTAGGCCGAAAAGTTAAATTAATTAAATTAAATATCTGTCTCGATGTGTCACTATAATGATTATCTGAAACGATTATCTTTACACGGTGTAATCGCAGCTGTGTGAAGTGTTGACTTTCTTACTACTAAAAATTCTCTAATAATTATTACCACTCGATTGATGGTCGTTTGATAGTAGATTTGATAGTCAAAATTGTAAATAACAATAAAGCAAAAAAAGATGTACGTGCGTGAAGTTAGCTCCTCTTTCCGCAAAATACGGCTAATTTCCAGACTGCGTAAGTAATCATAGCTATAAGTATTCGTTTGTTTATTGACGTTTGGTAGTCCATTCTCGATGATTGATAGTCAAAATTATAAATAATAATATGAAAAAGAGACATACGCGCGTGAACTTACAATTTTGACTACCATTCATCGGGAATGGACTACCAAACGTTAGTAAATAACTACCAAACGAATACTTATAGTTATGATTACTTACAGTCTGAAAAGTCATATTTTGCGAAAGGAGGAGCTGACTTCACGTGTACGTCTTTTTTTCGTATTGTTATTTACAACTTTGACTACCATTCATCGGGAATGGATTACCAAATACCATCAAATGACCATCAATCGAGTGGTAATGGTTGTTAGTGGATTTTCAGTAGTGGGGGGAGGAGAACATACTTCATACAGCTTGTAATCGCTCTTAATTTTTGCGCGTATATTAAAATAGTTGGTGTTAGAGAAATCATGCCCGATATTCGAACATTTATTCTGAGCAACAAATTCACAAAACATCTTTTTATGTTTTTAATTTATTGTCGTAGACATTTGTTTATGTTTTATGGATGTGGAGTGAAAATTTGCATGAGGGGAAAAGAGATCGGTTTATTGGGCATTTTTTTCTATGAAATCTGCGTCATCGCGAAACGCTATGATGCAGATAACATTGTTGTTGGCAGGATAATAGTTGATAAACGATCAACATTTCGGTGATCACAAGATTTGTTAAGTACACAGGCTGCTTCGCCGCAACGCGTCGCCAAACAAACGTGGCGCCATGTCAAAACGACGTCACCCCGTTTCTGATAATGCCGATTTACGATGCGCTTAACGGCCACTAATTATCTGATTTATCGTGCAACGTTGCACTAATGCGATTAACATCGTATAGCCGGACGCATCGCGCCTACTCCGCGGCGGTACCGATTTGAAATTTCCCGACGATACGAATTATCGGCGATTGCGCTAATGCGAAATGGCGTTTAGAGCATAGGTACAGGTGCGATTTGCAATCATACGTTTAACATCGCAAACTCGGCAATACTATTACGTAACAACGCCTAAGAGTATTTACAAGACCTATCTTAGACCTCATATTTTCCGTTATCTAAACGAATTTGATTTTTCTCCTAGCAAAAACAATTTTTTAACAATTTTTTTTCTTAACAAAAATTTAATTTTTTTAACAATTTAGTTTTTAACAATTTAGGAATAAATATGTATTAATACGTGAACGTAAAAAAGTAGAACATTGTTTTTTATTTAAATTAGGGTTTGATTAATCCTAATCATCAAATCTGTATTAAGCGTTCGAAAAATGCGTGATGCAGGAGAGAATATATTTAAAGTCTTTAGTATGGAAAAATAAAGCTTCTATATAATTGGAATTAGATAATATGAGCTAATGTTTTATTTAAATTTACAACACTTTTTTTATTGAAAAATGTTGCGTTAAGAAAACTTTAAATTCACAGCTACACACATGCGGTATAAATATTTGCATAGTATCCTCTTTATTTGCATGTGCGCAAATAATTCATAATACTTTCAGGGAATATTTTAGGGAAACTAAAAAATTCTCAGTTCCATAATACATGCAAATGCGTAAATAAATTCGTAAATATTAATTCAGGTAACGCAGCGCGTTATCAAACAGACGGAGGGACGCATATCGAAAAGGTTAATCTCGCGATCAACTTTAAATCCGACATTCCGATTATATCCGATAATTTTCCAATTACTTATTTCTCGTTGTTTCTATGACAATATTACATTTAACCTTGCACACCGCAAGTACACACGTAAGCACGCCATTATCGTTGTACATTGTGTATATATTTGCATGTGCGTCGACTACGATTTCGCACATCCACGCTCTGTTGATTCAAAATATTGTCGCTATGTATTCAACAATCTTCATTTAACGGTTCGAATTATTAAGATTGCACTGCATTACGCACAATGATTTATCAGCATTTGCCCGGCAAATATTCTTTTAATGTTTAAAGACCCCTCCTCGCACCCCGGCGGCCGCCCCGCGTGGTGAGTAATTACAATGTAAATGTGTAAATATGTACAAAACATGTATCTACAGAGAGCGTGGAAATGCGAAACAATTACACAGTTTCCGAAAATATATACCGCGCAAATAATATCGCGCGTGTTTGCACATCGCGTACATTCAGATTTAAATTGCGGGTCAGGCAAAAGACGATTGCAGCTGCAAAAATTATGCCACGATCCTTGATAGACAAATATTTTACGTAGCTTTACCCGACGACGTGCTATTTACTTGAATAATATAATCTGTAATCTTCTTCCCGAAGTTTAAGATTAATTAATTCGTCGTGTATAATCGTACAATGTATAATGTAAACGAAAATACTATTAATCGTACGTTACGTAACGTACATTTTATTAGTACAATTGATATGTTATTAATAACGTTATTATATTTGCGCTTGACATATTTCTTCGTTAATTATACCGCGTTGTTGGAAGCGAACAACTTTTCTGATAATTAATTTATATCTTCTCTGTGATCAGATGTTCAAACAACCATAAGACGTCAACTGCCCAACGCACCTCAATTGCCGGTAACACCATGGAGCTCCATAAACCCCGGCAAACGCGTCAAGATCCCACAAAGGCCTTTCGGCAGCATCCCGAGGCCGCGCAGGGGTTGCGTGTCTTTTTTCGAGTGTGCCGATACAGGGGATGCAGTTGAGAAGCCCACGAAGGGTGAGTAGCCGAGCATTTACACGGTGCCCAGCTGTGGCCCCATGGTGCCCCCGCGCCGATGTTGTATGCCGCGGTTCTCTTAGAGGGGGCACGGCTTTGGGCGCGTGCTTACCCCACGCTGCGCGCTTGCCACCTGTTCCTCGAGCCGCAGCGGGTGGTGAAGGGGGTGGTGTGGATTTGCCGTCGTTCCCATTATCTAATATACACCCGCCGATAGACAGATACGACAATAGAGACGATCTGATAAACTGACTTGCTTGATGCCGGGCGAGGGTGGCCGGCAATCAGATGTGTTACTTCCGGTCCTAAAATCGATGTCGATATGTGCGGCGAATTTATGTAAGATTGATAGATACGTATGATTGAAACGTATGATAGATTAATTGGAGTGTATGATTGATTTCAAAAGAGCGAACAAAAGAGTGACAAAATGAAAACGTAGATATAATAACTAAATTCTTGCAAAAGCGACGGTAAAGAGGAATTTTTCCAATATTAAATGTGCTAATTTTATTTGCATGTTTTTATTTTTTGCCATTCTAATTATAATTCCAATTTCGAAAGTTAAAGTAAAATAATTACGCGTGTAAATTATAAGTTGGAGTTTTTCATTACAAAAGAGAGAGAGAGAGAAAGAGAAAGAGAGAGTGGATAGAGCGGAGAGAGATTAATAATAAATTTACAAAAATCAAGTGTTCGCTTAATGACGAGGGGTGATGAGGGCTTAATTATCATTTATCGTTTCATTAACTCTTTGACGTATTTTGAGGGTTAAAATGACATTCGCAATTCGGGTATTTTATCATGCATATAACCCTAGAGAGAGAAAGAGAGAAAGAGCGAAAGAGACATTGCGTTATCAAGATTTTTATTTTACTCACTATTTAAATGAAAATGCATCATACAAAATATAAACATAATTAATGTGATGTATAAAGCTGGGCTTAATTTTTTGAATTAAAAATGAAAACGTAAATTCCGTCTATTAATTATGATTATAGAATCTATGTAACTAAGGTAACTAAAATTAAATTTTGATACAAAGAAATAAAAAGAAGTAGAAGAAGGTGTAATAAAAAAAATATAACACAAGATTAAAATTTTTATATTTAGATAATGGAAACTTTTACTTAATTAAAATGAAGTGTAAAATTGAAGAGTCTATCAGGTGATCGGTCAACAGTACTCTTCAGAATTACACATGTGCGATAACGTCGTTATTCAAATTACTAAAAAGAATTATTCCGGCACATATCTTACGATGCGTCAATCGTAATTTTAGCATCGCCTCGATCACGCTCTCGTACCGATCATTTTGACTTCGAGTCGAAGCGCCGATATAGGCTTCGTTTCAAAGTCACGCTCCGCGCCATCTTCCGCGACGTCGCGGACATTTTATTCCCGTTCGGTGGAATTTTTCGTCACGGCGACACCTCGATCAATATTTGCGCAGCCGGGACTGGGGACCACGTCACTCGACCTTCCGCGACCATATGCGAACGCGGCCACGTACGCCACAGCAGGCTCACGCGTGTGCTCGCGTACAATGTTGGAGACACTCGAGACCGGAGTCTGGCCTATGTGGCACATGATTTGCTCTGCTGTGATTGCCTCGACTATGATATTCGATGAGAGGAACAGGCAAAATCAGTGATAATTAATCATAATTTTTTTGTTTCCAATTTACTAATGTGATATTATTATGCAATTATTTATTAACGATTTGTTTTGTGTTTGAATTGATCTTTTCTAGGTTCAAAAAATAATGTTTACTGATATTATCAATTTTCATTATTAATGTATAAATTTATTAATAACGGAGTGTTTGCTATTAATAATAATTTGCTGCTAATAATTTGATTGAAAATGGACAAGATAGACTAAAAATAATGAAATGATTAGTATCGTCTGCAAAAGTTTTTTTTGAGTTATTCTGATCTTTGCAATTTTTATCTTAATTTTCAGTTCATTAAGCCAATATCAAAAAGGAATTAAAAAATTTATAAATGAATCGTTTTGCGCGTTAATGATCTTTAAAAAAACAAATATTTGATTCTATATTTAATTAGTCAGGGCTAAATTTTTTATCCAAAGTATTTCGATAAAAGGAACAATCGCGTTTCGTGTTCTTCGTTTAGCTGTTTCGATTCATGTAGCAGCACGTCCTTCTCTCGATTCACCGACGATTCAATCGGGGGTGAACGATAATTCGACCGATTGCTCTGTAGCCTCGCAATTTCCAGCATTACGTCCTAATTTTTAAAGTTCGTTTGCGCTTGATAGGCGATTACGCGAAATCGATAGTACGACATCAAACATACGGATGAAATACGCGATAGATTTAACGAGTCGTTAATGATCGCCGCAGATAATCCCGCTGGACAATTAATAACGGATCAATAGGACTTAACGACGTGACGGGCGAGCGTTGCATTTAGATGTTTGATTGATACAGATTTGTAAATGTTTATAAATGTATGAACATTGTATTTGTCGAATTTCTTTTACTATAGATGTTATCCCTCCGGAGGGATATATATATTAAATCACTTGGATTTAGATAGTGAGTACCTCCCTGAAAGATAGCCACAAGTTTTGAATAAGCCAAATGAGGATTACGAGGTAATCCTCACGATCGCACTAGATTTTGTAATTTCCTTCATATTTAATTAAAATTTGCGATATTTTCAATTTAAAGACATCTTTGTTTTTTTTTAATATGAAAGTTCGAAACCATATATAATTATAAAAAAATCACTGCGCGCACTGGGTTGTTGTTTCTTTGCTGATTCTTGAAAATTTAAAATGACATAAGAAAAGATAATTTTAGTCACAAATTAATTATGCTAATTTCAGGTCCTTTGCTTATTCATGCGAACATGCTGTTAATTAGTAATTAGGCAAGACATAGTATGTGCGATCCCCTATCTCTGTATTAAGTAAATAGATAGACACGCACAGACAAATTTAGCGTAATTGACCGAGCAATATGACAAGAAATACGGTTGCTAATTTGATCGTTTATAAATCATTAATAGAATTTAAATCAACATGCTTCGCATGAGTGAAACAACGATTCTCTCAAAATATTCTTACCTAAAGCACTGAATTGCGAAGAAATTACAATTAATATATTATACCTTAACTATTTATATTATTTATAATTTTATTATACAACAATGCTAATCAATGTGTATTATACATATGAATTTTTAATATGTCTTTTTTTCATCAAATGAAATTTCTTACCGCAAATCGTCACGATTTACAACGCCACTTTGATCCCTCTGACTCTCTTCCGTATGGAATATACGGGAGATTTACGGTGGAAAAGCAGATGCAATTTCCTTCTCGGCGCGCAGAAAAAAGGAAAGAACGAAATAGATCGCGGTACTAACCAGAACGACCGTTCGCGTGTTTGCGGTACGCGTTACTTCCACGTTACCGGCGACCAATGGGAAAACCGGCCGCGACGAGGATTGGCGACGCTAGACCTCGGTACCCGGCCACGCTAAACGCTCGTAATGAGTGATTATCTCGGTTAGCCTGGTTAACACGTGGTACCAAGGTAGCGGCAAGTGCACACCGTCTATTTGCTCGCGACGACACGTGCCCGCGCACGGATAGGACGCACTTACGCAATTGCGCCGACGACGAGTTATTTTCGTTTTCGCAATAATGCCACACCATACAGAATATGAAAATATTATCTACCCAAAATCGATTGCTGGATTATTATAAAATCTTGTGAGAATCGGCTTCTACATTCGATATTGTTTCGAAACGAGAAATGTAATTGTACTTAAAATGTAAGTAAAACTTTTGAAAAAGAGAACGCTCATTCTCGATATTTTTTATTGAGATATAATAAATATATATTCCGAAGTTACGTAACAAACTGAATTTTGACGGACTAATATCTGAGCGCTGGAAGTGATCTGTGTGGTTAAATATGAGAATAACAGAGAGAAGGAAAATGGATTATTATAAATGGATTTGAACAAATTGTTTGAAAGGACTATCGAAATTATGTGTTTATTGCACGGTATGAAAACTTGAAAGAATTAATAGTTAATTTTTTAAAAAGAATAATGCCAATAACGATAGAGCAAAACATTTTTCCATCAGGAAAACGGAATGAAGGAAGCGGGTGTATAACGTAGAATATGAATTAAACCTCAGAATTTAACTATACAGACGTTTCTGCGCGCTTTATCTTTATCTTAAATACCAGTTAATGATATGCCGTGCGCTTTAAATTTAACGCAGCTGCCTGTTGAGCGTAATCAGCGTTTTATACACTTCTCGTCATACAATAATCTCTTCTGCGTCACGAATATCCCAAGTTCATATAATGCTGTTTATGTTTCGTACATAGCCGAGTCGATGTTCAATTTTTATTTACGGTAATGCTAGATTTTATTTTTAACCGTATATATTATAAATCCGTTCATCTGCTAAATATCATTTGCATCTTAATATTTTTCTGAAAGAATACCCTTAACGTTGCAAAAGAATTTCACTAAGCGTGAATACGTGCGCGAATTTACGGCTGTTCCGTAAATGTGCCGTTGAGAACCCTATGCCAATTGTCGGGAACAAGCATTGGGCTCACTTTGGCGTGTCTGTGCCATCGAAATCTGAATTCGCTGGAATTATATAATGGTTTCAATCTCCGGGTATCAAGTCAGGAGCGGCGTTGCGTTTAATTTCGCGGCATTGTTGTCATTCGCGATGCGGAGAGAGCAGAGCAGAGAGAGCAGAAAGAGAGAGAGAGAGAGAGAGATACTTGCCGAAATCCGCGTCGCGGCGCCGCGACTGGATGTGGCATAGGGGACTTCCAGGACCCGGGTGCTGTTTGAACGACAAATATTTTGTCGTCAAACTTCTGTCGCGCGGAATGAACGTGTCTATATGTGCAGGGCTAATACAAAGCGTTTCGCGGGCGTCTGCTAAAACCAGATTACATGCTCGACCTCCGGATAAGCGATCTCGATCTT